GTAATTACGAACAAATCTGAATTTCTTACTTTTTATATCAGTTCATCAGCAGCGGTCTTTTTAGAATTAAAAAAAAAAAAAAAAAAAAACTATTATTATAGCGAAATACTTTATAGATTTTTGTATCTCAAATACAAGTAGGTTTGTTTTTTCCACTAGTCAAGCCCCTTCGGCCATATGGTTCATAAGTGTGTGCGTACAGGATTCATTATCGGATACTTCCTAACGAATATTATAAGGGCAATCTTGTTGTTCAGTCATCGAGTAAAAGGTATTTACAAAATGCTGCTTCGTTACTCATTTGTGTTAAATAATATAGCGTTTGTCCACATTTGAATATACACACCTTAAAAGAACAATATATGTCTTTCGGCTTTACTAATTCAGTTGCGAGCAGCAAGTTTCCATTTGAGGGGGTCTCTGAACTTGACGTAAACAGACATTATATATATACGAATAGTTGTCTGCAACAATTTAAAATGTTTAGTAGGTCTAAAAATACAAACATCGAATTACGACTGCCAGCTGTGCACATGTCGACCAATATACACAAAGCACTGTGCTGACAGTAGCTGTTTATATGAAGATTGGTTTATATTAATTTATTAAAGGTATGGCGGAAGCGACTATAATATAGCTAATGGCAGACAACGACCTACATCCGTTAACTCTATGGTGTTCTCCAGTGGCCCTCAGGAAGAAAACCAGCAGGCAAGGCCGTGTTGCTCGTGTTGAGAATGTTAAGGAGTCAGAGCGAAGGCAATTTCGGAGTAATGCAATGCACTCTTACTTGTACCTTGCCAAACTTTCAAATTGGTAGGGCGGTAATAAGTCCTGCACCATCGAACACAATAGAGTTACCCCCTTAAATGGGAAAAATATCTTTGCGCTTTGCCATAAATTGGCAGTCACATGCGATTCTTTTCATGTGTACGTTTTTTCCCACTCTACTTTTCCATATTCCTATAAATATTAAGATATTCTTATTCTGTATAGATTTTTCGACAAGCTAGTAACGTTAACGTGCCCTATAAAATTTTAGTTTCGAAATATATACCACGCACTTTAAATTAGGCTACCTTCCCACAGAGAGCGAAAGCGAATAAATGAAGTTGGATTGTCAGTCGGGTACGCCCATTGCTGCTAGTCGCAGAGCTGTCAGATCGAGCTTCTCTACTGAGGCGGTGGGTGCATCACGATTTTCCTGAGCAACATTCGTGTCTTTTCTCCTACCGATTTAATACGAAATCATTGTAAGAGCTGCATGAAAATTGATCAGAAACTTCTTTCGTTGGATTGCAGACGCGCGGCCTCGAGCGACGCGCAGGTTTGCGCAGCGATGACGTGAACATTGGTGTGTCCTGACAGCTGTAGGTACAATTGTTTTGTGCTATCAGGCATGGTATAGTAGCAGATAAAACTAGGGTGGGCGAGTTTGCGTACCTTTCAAAAGCTACCTTTCAAATCAGAGCGGCCTCGTCCAACCTACCGGGTGGCTTGCGGTGCCGCCCCCACGGATGAGACCTGAAGGATCCGTGGTCAGAGATGGAAGGGCTGGATGGAGCTTAGGTCTGAACCACGGGTTCGTTTCTTGCTTACCAAACTCCAGCTTACCTAACCTAGGCAGTTGAAAAACAAACTATTAGATGCGGTGCAAGCCATGAATAGCGATGACTCTTCCGCATTCTACTTCCTGTTGCTTTTGATGTTTTTCTGAATTGTGAACTACTGCTATGATCTTCCTCTGTAGATGTACGTGAGGGGATTATCTATTTTCTTAGCTGTTTGCGGTACTCCTAGAGTTATATTTTTGTTATATATAATAAATGGTTAATGTTTTGTAAAGCTCAGTGATTCTTATTTGACTTATCGGGCAGTTACTTAAACAATTAAGTAGTAATTGAGAGAATACACTGTTCGGAGTAAGTTTGAACCAAATGCATGTCTTTAGTTCATAATCGACATCCGAATGAAAGCAGACATTTGGATAATTTTTTTGCACGTTTTGATAGACAGATCTTTGAACAGACGTCTTGTTTACTAATAAATGCCATCGTCTTCAATGATGGCTTCGATTCGGAAGTTGAATTGAGCTAGTAAAAATGTATTCTCTGGATATCTCTTTAATAATATAATAACTTTTCGTAGAGTTGTTGAGGTCTCGTTTGAACGCATCACAAAAAAAGTCCTACCTGATTTTGATTTTAAATTGATAGTAGGCCAATGATTCCATACAATGTGAAGATCCTAGACAGCAAAAAAGGTCAGAAGGTGCAAAACGTCAAAAAAGCCTACCGATGTAACGTATTTGAATGAGTCTAGTAGTAATAGACAGTATAATCTCGAAAACACCCTTGAACACCCGAGCGAATATTCATGAAAATTCAGTTCTTTCTCGAATGCTTCAGAAGTCGTACAACAACCAGTAGTAGCATTCTTATTGTGGAGGATCAGGTATGCAGGACTTTAGGATACAGAGAGCCTATAAATACCAGGATGAAAAAAGGTACTACTTGTGTGATTCTCATGCTGTCTCGTAAATCTGTTAGAGAAGCCCCGGTTAAACTTTCTAATGGAGGCAGAGGCTCAATGCTATGGTTATTCCGAGGACTTGATTACGTGGAGGGAATAGTTCCGAGTGTTAAATTAAAACAAAAATTAGCTACTATTTAAATTGGCCTCTCCTTTTATGGGAAAGGATAACGGTTGCCTTTAGCGATGGAAGTTGAAAATTACGAATTGAAAGACGAAGTTCGAAAAGAAAGCACAATAGAAAATGTCGCAGCCACAGCTCAACAAAGAAGAGACGAGAGAAAACCCATTACATTACAGAAGCCACAGCAGCATCTAGTTGGAAACGGCAACAACAACGGCAGAAACGACAACGCATATTCAAACCACGGCGAATAGAAAAGCAGGAGGGCGTAACCGTTTGCCGATCAAGAGTTAGTACACCACTTCGCTCCTTTCATCCACTCTCAAAAATGGGATGGCCTGTTCGGGTGCTTAGTGATAGAAAAAAGGCAAGCTGAAAAGACCTTAGCAAAGGAAAAACCGAAAAACGACTTGGGCTGGCAGGACAAGGAAGGATCGCAAGGGCAGCGGAACGGGGGGGGAAAAAGGAGCCCGATATATGCAAGATACCTTTAGCTGAGCAGGCCTCTGAGTCATCTAAGATTTTATAATGTAAAGGCAACACCGCTCGCGACAACGGTGTCATTAAGAACTTTAAGTCACTCACGCTTAAGGTTGATACGTTAGTGGGTAGACGGAAGAAGGGGGAAGTTTTTGTTTGACAACCAGTAACAGTTTCTAGCAGGGTATCGACAATAACCAGGAAAACTGCTTAGCTTTCTTTGAGACTGCCCAGGGGCTGGATATTGTATTTTCCAGCTCAGTAAATTCAGCTCGCTTAATCGGGAGTTCAAGCACTTGAGATCAGAGACCTAGCATCTTTGCCAATAAAGAATCACTGTGTAATGAAATAAGCTAAAAAAGCGTGTAATTTTCTTGAAGGAAAAATCCTTGTGTAATGAAGGGATCATTTTTTGTGTTCAGACAATTCTGCACATACTATTCGTAGAATCATAACCATTTCTCATAACGCCTTTGGTTCCATAATCTCTCCCTTAAATACTGTTCAAGATTATTGTTTATAAAATCAAGTATAGAACGCCTACGGCGATTTAGTTTGCTAGCAGGAACTCATATTGGCATTAAACTATACGGAAATCATCGAGAAAAAAAAATAAATAACTAAGTATCACTACGACTTTCTCAAACCTCAACAAGAGGTTATATGTTATAATTGGGATTGCCTTTTTCGTCTATAGGGCGGGTCAAGCGCCAAACAAATAGCTATTAACAAATCAGTAGTCGTCATCTTAGGTAGAAATTTAATCTATCTGTCAAACGTAAAATATTTTTATAATATTTGTTTCAAATATTTGTAAACAGCTAAAAAGGCGACTGCCTAAAGTAAGATCGATGGTGTTTCTTCTCGAGTAATTCTGTATTTGCGCCTAATCCTATAAAATTTTGTAACGCCGATCTCGGGAATAAATTGGGTGTAATTAACGCATGCATTACTCTGCGTAGACACGTTTGCTTGGCTGTATGTACATATCTTGAAAAATAATACGATAATGGCTTTATCAATATCCTCGACAGCTACACCGTTACCACATGTCAGAGGAGCGACTTCACCGTGTACATTTAGCCATTTACTCGAAAACTCTGAGGAGCTGATATCTGTTAGGTCTTCTGCACGGTTACGTGGCCCAACGGATGTACGAATGAATTCCCGTAATAGTCGATGACGATTCGAAATCAACATGTTAATTGTTTGAAGCGTACTTGTAGCGCCCATGATACATTTACGTGAAGAACTAGGATCAGTGGTGGGAGGACTAAAGCAGTTGTTTGAATATATGGTACTTCTCGGCAAAGTTGTAGTGAGAAAAGACCCGTTCCCATTTCAAATTCACGGTGATAGTTTCGTTGTGGACTTTTGAAAGGTACAGGCGTTGCATGTGAGAAACTATATTTTACAAATCATTGCTTAAAAGCGAGTAATCAAGTAGCACTATTTTTTATCCAAGAATTGTACATCGATGCTTGTCATCAAACGTTCATCGTTAAGGAAAACGAGGTCCAAAATGGTACCATCCTTAGGGCGTGTTACCATGTTAACAAGTCGCGAGAAGCCGCTAAAAATACACAAACATGTTAATAAGCGTTTGTTCAAAAATGAGTGAGTCCTTTATTTCAGACTGATAAGTATTTATTTATTCATTCCAGTGCAAGTTGTTTTCGTCCAATTAGTTACTGCCGGATGCAACACAATTGTGCGACCGTTCTCTCCAGACCTCAAAACACTTTTCAAATCCGGTCATGGGGATAGTCTGCGCACTCAGTTGGGTTAGCGATTCTTTCTTCGAAACGCTTCCCCTTTCCACCCTTCCTCAGTCTCGAGAAAATGGGTCGCAGGATCTGCTGAATACGGAGGTTGGGGAAACACTTGCATCGCACTCTTGGCAAAAAACTGCTGTGCGAGTAGTGAAGTACGGGCCCGTGCATTGTCGTGATGAGGCACTCAGGACTTCTGCCACCGTTCTGGTCGCTTGCGTCACACAGACTTGCGCAATCTTCTTCAAACTACTTGATGAACTCATGAGCAACAATTCTCCGATGGTACAAAGAAATCCTGTGAGGACCACTTTGTTCTCCGATCTGGGTCGTGCGACTTCCTTTGGGCGGGGCCCGTTTTCGAAGCGATACTGGGAAGATTGCATTTTGGTCTTCCCATCATAGCTGTATATCCGCGTCTGGTACCTCATAATAATTTGTTTAAACAAGCCTGGCTCCTCCAGAAGTGCCAACAGGTTTACTGGATACAGTTATTTGCGAGTGTTTATCTCCTGGACATTCAATTGTTTGCCGTAATTTCCGTGACTCTCAAACGATTGCTCAAAATGGCCGGACATGAATTAATGGAGATTTCTATTTCTTCTGTTAGATCTCTTATGGTAATTCAACGCTTGGTTAGATTAGATCGTAGTGAGTTGTTTAGGGACATGTTGTGGTCTAGGTTCGAACTTGGGTATAGCCACACCTCGTTTCGTGCTGGGAGCCAGCAGTCAGATGGAAAAGCTCGAAGCACACGTCGTTTTATTCTATCCACGTTCTCGCCCGTGATCCTTGTCAAAGGTCTTCGAAAGTGAAGATCGTCCGTAAAAGACTCAGAAACGCATCTGCTTACTTGAGCTTTACTCAATGTCGAATTTGCGTAGACATTCTGCAACATCTGCAGAGTATTTGCGTAATTAGTTTCATGTTTTGTTATTTCAATTGGGAAAAATGGCACATTATACATTAATGCATATTAGTACATAAATTTCATCTCATCGTGAAACCCGGTATTTCATCTGTGCATAGCAGAAGCCCTGCCCTTTTTCCCATAGTAAACGTGCATCAGGAGCGATCATCTAGTGGCGCGAAAATCCAAATGACTCACTAATTTTTGGACAAAGGATCATAAATTGTTTACTAACGGCGGTGAGGTACCATCTGGGGAGGTCCAATCGACTGTAGGAAACTTGAAACCATCTGCAAATGATTACGGAATAATTGACTTGCATCAGATCATCCAGCTGATCACAAAGCATTCGTATTCCATTCGGAAGATCAGTTTAGGATTCAGTAGGGAGTAAAATGTACGCAGATTAAATGATGGCAAGTTTAGGAACCATACATAATATCAATACTGACTATCTCGGATTTGTAAGTGTAAGGCCATGTCGTGCGGCGAAACCCAGATTTTGTGAGAACACGTACATCTTCATCGGCGCGATAAATCTTTGCGATGACAGAGTAAAAAAGCCCAGCACAAGGAAGGAAATTATTAGTTAATGTCTCTATAATTAGAAGAACGTGAGTTAAAGTGGAACAAGTATACTCCTATAGGGAATCACAGGTACCTTTCTTGACAAGATAAGTGACGATCCACAGCGGAGCGGCGATATGTGGTAGAAAACGTGCCTCTTTGCTCAACTTCTATCGGACCTCCTGAAGAGTCTGCAAGACGACAATGCAGGCATAATTGAGTCTTGACTTTAGTGTCTATACAACCAATAATCTGTGGTAAACTAGTCTGTTCGTTACACACGATTATATATTACTATTACATTATTATATATTAGTTACAATAGTATGCTAATTACACTTCAGATTTAGCAGTCAGTTTTTTGTGGAGGGATCCTGAGTCAACTGAATAAATATCTTTGCGGGCAATTACCACTAATTTATTGGCAATTAATGAGTGTAGCGGCAACACGTTGCAGTGAAAAGCGATTTCTCAAGAGCTTCATACGTACGCATACAAAATGTATTTACATCACCAGCCGTCATCATGTTCATCTACGTCTGTGTGAACAATCACCCTCCCGTGTGAGTTTTTAACAATAAAATAACAGGCACCCGACATCGGTAAGATTTCACCGGGTGATCGAGTCACTGACTGAATACCGTCAGTAACAGTCGTAATGATGAAGATGATAATACTATTTGTATCGCTTCTTCTCAAGGCAGGCTACTCGCTTGCTTCGACTTTGCTGATGATGATAACATCAATGATCCCTAACCTTCCCGTTGTCGTCCCCGAAGTCGACTCTCTACGGGTTACTGGTTGTGTTGTTACTGTGTCGCGGCAATGACGCCTCCCTTGTGTCTCAGACTAAACTGGGGACTGGGAGAGTCTACGATAGACAATTCCCCTATGCTGGCGCCGTTGGCCCAAGGGGAAGGCGGACGAAAGCCTAAAGGCGCAGTGTAGCGAGTGAATGAGCTTGTGAAGGTCTTCGGGTTCTGCGAGAGTAGACGGGTGAAATCATGGGAGAGTATCTCGAGGGAAATCACAGCTACCGCTACTGCCAAAGCCACTGGCCCGTGGGGGCCACTGTCATAGCTTTGGAAGAAGGACTAACTCACACTCAGTTTGACTCAGGACAGAGGCTCGGCTGTTCCGCTGCGCTCATCACTGCGTCCACATCATAGTCACCATGATCGCCACCCCCAGCATTACCAACGGTAACAGCCAACAAAGAAGCAGGGGGGGAGGGGGGGACCGGAAGCAGAGAGGTTGTAGCAATATCACGTTCGTTGTTGAATCGATTCGTCGGAGAACAGGTGGAAACGATAGTTAGGTTGAAGGCGGCGCAGCTCGTGTTTAGAAAAAAGAAGATGAGAAAAAGCAAACAGAATATTTTTATCGTTTCCTATCCATCTACTTATTCAACAGGACATAGACTAAGTTCGATATACGTGTGAGACGATAGCACACGATCTCGAGTCTGGGAACGCAGTCGGCACAGCAAATGTCGGCACAGCAATAATATTGTACTAATTCTGTTCTCCGTAGTCCTAGAAACTCCAGGCATAAGAAGGATGGGTTTTTGTGTCAAGAGTCGTCGTCTCGAACATGCTCTTGCAGAAAAGAGCGAAAAAGTGAAAAAGAGGACAGATAGATACGGCCTAATACGGCTAACCGACCCTCATCTTTGAATTAATCTGCCTGAAAGCTATGCGTCGCTAGTGGTGACGCATTACATAAGTTGTTGAGGTAACGCGCATGGTAGCCTGTTTAATCCGATTGTATGCATGCATGTGTTTCGTCGTTGTGATTATATCTTATTTTTTTAAGTACCCTTTTACCGAGAACTACCGAAGGACGGTCGAAACTAAGTTTCAAAAGGACCATTCAGGTATACATCACTTAGTTAGTGGATTTCCATCCTACTTGGTTGTCGAAAACCCCAAACCATTAAGCTCATTACTATTATATTTTACTTACCAGTTCCACACAACTTCGCTTCTCACATACATCACGGTAGAATCGATAACAACTAGGATCTATGCTCTATGCTATAGTGGTGCTACCGTTCGACGACGAGCAGGCGGGCAACTTTTGGAGGGCAAATCTATCACACACGGGGGGACGGAAACTACGTCCTAATTTATGTGCGGATTTTTTACTTCCCGATAATTGCAATAATTTACTCTAAATATTTCATCATAGCTTATATTTGATGAATTACACTGGACTATTTAGTAAGTATATGAAGCGTTGGTTGAATTTAAAACCGACGATGGCCTAGTTTATCTGGGTCTCATTTTAGAGACCTTTTAATCGGACATGTCCTAGACTTAAGTTGACTGGAGCGCTTTCGTTGGGGAAATGGTTGAAAACGTTCAAGTAATTTGAAAGAACGATAGCGTTTTAGTTCTCAAAGCCGATACCTCATGATTGCGCCCGTCGCTGCCGTAATTTATTACCTCGTTTTTGTTTTGATCATTTTGCAATGCATCGCTCCACCATCAACATGTATATCACTATCCATTTAATGAGATAAGGAACGGTATTTTCGTATCAATTATTGTGCTATTGAGAGATAAAATCCTTTAAGGAGTATTATCATTTACATAGTCGACCGTATTGTCTCTCATTTAACAATATAATATAATAATAGATAACAGCTTTTCAATGGGAAATATGATAATTTAATCGAAAAATAATTGTGTGCAAGGCTACTGACCTATATATTGAAACGTAAACATAAATGTCAAATAAGCGACCCTTTCTACAATCGCTTTAAGGGTGCCTTAATATCATCCAAAGATCAAATTGAGATAATACATATTTTCACATATTCTTTTCTAGTTGATTGAATTAAACATTAATATGAGTAGTATATACTAGTTTTGTTTATTATTGTATCACACTGTAGCTGTAGAGACGTATTTGCGAAAATTCCTTTATCATAAAGTGAACGTCCTGCTGGTAATTTGCTTCATATTTGTATGGCTGAAAAGATTTTTTTGTGTATTTTGAGGGCATTTAGGAGACGGAAACGTCATTACTACGTCGAGATCTATAAAGGCAGAACAGCTGAACGCGGGTTAATAATCGAATAAAAAACACAGCAACGTTTTCCAGCAGTGGTCTACGAGAGACGATTGTTCTAGGATAATAACAGCAGCAGTCATCGATATGCGGCATCTATCTCCTATGCACCTTTCTGTTTCCTTTTTCGTTCATTCTTTATTTCACTACTTCACCTGTTCTGCTTGTTTTCCGCATTTTCGTTTGTCGTATGTTGCTTCCTGTTTCCCATTGTAGCTGATCAACCGACTTAGCCTCGAGTCACCTGGCTACCCTCTCGTGCAGGCTGTACACTGATCTTTACGGCCGGCCCAGGGCTACGTTTCTGTGGAGGCTGCTGGCTTAGGGAAGTGCGTTTTCGCATGGTCAGGTCACACTAGTTTGTTTGCCACTCACTTTTTGCGGAGGTAACTGGTTGGTCCTGAGGTGAGCCGAATAGGGCCGTTCTATCGCGTTTAACTAAACGCAAACGAACCGAACACCTGTTAGCTCTTGGTGCCGTTGCTGCGTTCACGAACAGATGCACATTTATATGCGTTTGCACTCAATGCTGAAAGCGTCCTAGGAACAGCGATGTCGTCTGCAAGACGGTAGAAACTTCGTACGATGAGAAGCGACACTAACTTTTCATGTAGAGAAATAGGGAGTGCCTTCCGTTACGTCACTCAAAAAGATACGAAGATTTGAGAAGAAACGCCTTTATAACTATGCAATAACCGAAATAGTTAAAGAGGTCAAGCACAGTTTACAATATCACTGAGACGTATGATTTGCTTAAAAACGTGACGTACATTTCCCTATTGAATATATTAACTTGTGTTAATAATAAATATTTACGAAAGGACACCTTGAAAGACATGAGATGTTTTAAGTATCCAGTATTTTAACAAGAAAACAATTAGTAATAAGAGAACTGCAGCTTAGATCCATTACTTGTTGCTTAACTTGTATGATAACAGAGTCTTCATTGTACTATGCTATACACATGTATGAATAGTTGGTAAAGCTTCGCAGGACACATTACAAAGGATCTCTACTAATAGAATTTACTATGTAACAACACACTCCAGCTCGTCGCCCAATACGCGTGACTTACAGAATAGGCATGCTTTTCAAACCTTTTTTTTGCACTAATTCAATGATCTATCTGTTGCTTTATTTATCTTCAAATTCTAATTGTTTATACGTCTACTATACGTGTATATACAAATTGCTCACTATAACCTCGAACTAGATTGGTCACTTTGTATCTGATATCGTATGATGGCCCCATCAGGATATTTTCTGAAAAATAAGCGTACAAGCGTACTTAATAACAACATAACTATTTCAGCCGCATTCTCTCCGGAGGATCCCTAATAAATTTCCGGTAAATTTCAAACAGATAATCTCACATAACGGTTCACACACACAGACACACACATATTTTTCTTTATATATATATATTCCGAAAATGGCAGCAAGAATTTTAATTATTTGTGGTGGACGGACGGACTTGACCCTTGGTGAAGACTTTATAACGAAAAGATCGTGTTCGCTCGGGAAAACTCACTTCCCTATCATTAGAACTTGAGTCGTGCGCTAGCAGATAGCTCATTGACCTTCTCTCAAACATATCGCTTAGCCTGATTACTTTCTTTGCTTGACTCTTTTAGACTAATCAAAGAGTCCTCAAAACAAGCGAAAGTTATGGTTTAATTCCTACAAAAGTTGAGGTAAGTGAAAAAAACAAATCATAACGATAGAGGAATTATATGATACTGCGCCACGGGTGAATAAGCGTAACTGACAAAGTGTAAGGGAGAGCTCTTGCCGACAGGGAGCCACCGGATCGTTTCAACTTCGACAAGTTAATGCCCATGTCGGATGGCGATTGCTACATGTTATATCGCTTACATTTAAGTGATTGAAGATTATTGTTCAATGCACGTTCTTCGCTGATAAAGCGAATCTGGTAGAGCGAATATCTAATCATATTCTGATAAGGCAATAACTGAACTTGCGGCGCGACTCTTAGACATTTGGCAAGGTGACTGTGCATTATTCACGTCCCTTATTAAATAGCGATCATTTATATATGAGATGTACGCGTGAACAAGAGTCCTTAAATATAACTAAGAGCATCTCGATTGAGGAGCGTTAATTACTGAACTAAATAGTAATGTTTTTAGCATGTCTACGATAAGTTGCCAAGTGCCATTGACGCTAAGTATTGTTCAACTAAAATAGTTTGTGTAACATAAACTAACGTTACAGACAGACTGGTTGGGCAGATATCTATCTCTATGTGCTAACGATACCGCGTTCCGTTTCCCATCAAACGATAACGATCGAATACCTATTGAACCATATACTGCTACCCTTGACGACTTATCTAAATTGAGGCGTCCTGCATAGCCCCTATAAAAACATGGTAGTCGTAAATACGCGAGACAATTAATCGATGAACTCTCCGTTTTATCACTAAGTATCTTTAACCTGATCACATAATTTATATAGGTACATAAAGATAATAAGTGTTATTAATGCAACAATATGAGCAGCTTTGTTTTATTTCGTCGTGACAGGACGCCACAGCTAAATTTAGCGCTTTCCAATAAACTCTAAACAAATACAAAAAATAAAACTGTTAATGACACATTTTA